TCTTTCCCTCTCCGTCTCTAGTATATGTGTAATTGTTTCAGTAAGTATGTACATCATATATGTAAAAGGGAGAAGATGGGCATACGGGTATGTGTGTGCGTGCATGGAGTAGAGGTGCAGGGAAGGGTGGGATGTTAAATGTATATACATGTAGGGGTCTGATGGTATCTTAGATGTATCTGTGCATACGTATGAGCAGAGGCAGCGAGCAGCTGATAGGAAGCGCACATCATATCTAAGAAAAATCGCCTGTAAAATTGCAGGCACAGGAGGGACCTGCACTGAGGTCACCCGGAGATCTGACTCTGGTAGAGCACGAGGTCTCCTTCGCCTCTTCTGGGAGACGCTTGCTTGTTTTTCCCCTCTGCTCCTCCTTGTCTGCCCCAGCAAGAGCTGCTGACTGGGGAAGGCCACAGCATCCTCACTGCCGGGGGGATTTTAAGGGCACGTTGGATTAAGACTTCTCAGATTATAGCTGAACCTTGACTTGGAGCAGCAGAAAGGGACGAGCTGACCTGTCAGAGGCCCTTCCAACCCCATTTTGTCATCTCAGAAGTATGGAGGAGGACAAAACCTAAGGAAGAATAATGTGCCGTCAAAGTTCGCTGACGGGTCTGGGGGAGCGGAGCGTTGCCCCTGCGGTGCGGCGAGCGGGGGGGCTGGCAGAAGCCTCTGCAGCAAAGGGCAGGGGGTGCAGCCAGACCAGCGAGGAGCAACAGCAAATAACAAGTTCCATGATCTCAGAAGGGAAAGGAGAGAAGGACGTGGGTCATTAGTCAAACTAGCAAGTCAGGTCAAAGGTAGGAGAGTCTTGGTTTTTCTTTATTAAAAAAAAAAAAAGGAAAAAGTGGTGTGTTTTGTAACATGGAAGAAAAAGGAGAACATAGAGGGGATGAGAATCCTGCAAGGGACTGCAGAAATGGAGCAGGATCATGGAGGAGTTTTGGAGACAGGTCAGAGGCAAGAAGTAAGCAGTAAAAATTATCTGTGTGACAGAGAGAGGGAAAAAGAAGGTATTTCAGGAGAGAAAAGGAAAACTAGAGAGAGGGTAGGACAAATACTTGGTGTACAAAATCAGCCAAAGTCATCCATTTCAGTAGCTTTCTTTTAGCTACAGCAGAACACGTAAGATGCTGTGTCTTGAGGCAAGTCAGGAGGGGACAGGAAGGAGGGGAATGAGCCTCTGGGTTTGCTGATGTGGGACACGGGATTGTCCAGGCGAGATTTGCTTGTGTTTGACAACTAGATGCATTTGGCTAGGAGGCACAGCAGAGCTGCTGAGGAAGAGAGAGCAAAGGGGCTTCCAGAGTCTACCAGCTATCGAGAAAAGCGATGGGAAGCATATGTTGGATGAGCCGAGGGTTGTGGAGAGTCCAGCAGCATTCAGAGTCAGAATGCCGGGCCACACAACCCAAGTCAGGAGGAGTAAAGCAGAGGCAGGTGGGTGAGAAGACTGAGAACAGATCAGTCATCCTTGCTGAAAGACTGGAAGTCATCGAAGGGGCGAGGTGATAATGGCTGATGTTGAAATAAACCATGTGATGTGTCGTAGTGTTAAAATGGGGGTTTCTGACATATTCATCATTTCAGTTAAGGCAAACTTGAAGTGCTTCTGGTTCTCACCATGGCCTGGGCACTTCCCTAGCCCTCATTTCCACGTTATCAGAGTGCCTTACTATCTTTAAGGTAATTACCTGTGCAGCAATATGGGTGGTAAGGAATTGCTATCCTGTAGATAGGGAACCGAGGCGTGAAGCAGAGGAGTAGCTTGCCTGCATTCCTGCAGAGGAGTAGCTTGCCTGCATCCCTGCTGCAGATGGAAGTGAGAATTGAAGCCAGGTTTCTTCAGTCCTCAGTTAGTAGCTTAAACGCTGGCTCATCCTCCCTCTGAACTCTTGCCTTGAGCAGGAGCCACCTTGAAATCATACTTTCCACGGAGAAATAATTTTGTTTGGCGTATTTTAATGGCTTGTTTAGTGATGTTAAAAAATGAAAAAGTCCTAAGTTACTTTTGAGGTTTTTATTAATTAAAGCCGTAACTGTATATCTGCTGGTTGATGTAGAGTGACACTGCAGAAGAGGCGGGCAGTGTACCTTTCACTGATCTGCTCTGGTCTGTTTTTCAGATAAACCGTGAAAGCTGGTGTTCGCTGGAGCCATGTCCCAATTCTTCCCTGCTGGAACGCAAGCGGACGCCGGAGTCTCCAGGTGAGCAGCGTGCCGGTGGCGGCTCCGGACGAGCAGCCCTGCGGTTCTCCTCACCTTTTCCAGCCTTCTTTTGCTTCTTATTTTTGATATCCTAGCCTCGACAGGGAAAATACGTAAACTAAAGAAAATGTGTAATGAATCTGCCGTGAGTCATTGTTAGCACATGGTTGTAGCACTTGACTTGCAGTGGGCTGTGTGGTGTGTCACCTCCTTAAGTAATTTTGCATTTCAAGTACTCCAGTAGTTCAGTTTTTTTCTTTTTTTTTTAAATGAAAATTGGGGGACATAGACATGGTTTCTAGCCAAAATTATAATACAGAAATTTAAGAAGAAATAAGAAAGAAATTTAAGCTCCTGACTCCGTATTTAGATCCAGATCAGTGGCTTGATGTTATTTCTATTTTTTTTCCCCGGAAGTTGCCATGATTTCCAGGCTTCAGGAATCAGGAAGGTTGTTCAGAGAACATCATTCCCACACCCTGCCCACCAGCCATGTCCAGCTCCCAGCCCTGCCTGCTGGCTGGTGCTTTCTGGCTCTTCCACTGGGACAGAAAATCTTGTCTGGGCAAGTTTCAAAGAGGGTTTGGTGTCCAAGATAAAAAAAACCAAATCTTTTACTTTTGCTGGATTATGAAAGTTTGAAACGAATGGAGTAATTTCAGGGCCCTGAACAGTGACTTTGCTGGGGTTGTTCATAGAGAGGATGCTGCTTGCCTTGCGCTCATTACGAGCAGGGGTGTCACCTGAATCTCCTTCAATTTATCTGAGAGACTTGAAAGAAAAACAGGGTTTGAATCACTGAGTGTCAATGTGAAACTCAAACCCAATCTTTTCAGAGTGTAGGCAGAGAAGGGATAATGTGGGGGTGACTGACCTGGGGAGCTTATGCTGGGTAGGAGTTCAAGCTCCCATCAAAGTGAAATAAGGGCTTTTTTCTTCTAAAATAAAAAGAATATTCCTGTGTTTAGAATAGTCATGAACACTGAATGGCTGTTTCAGGAGTGTTTTATAGGAGAACCTGCGGTATCATCGTGCTGCTTCTTGCTTGCTTGTATCCCCAGATCCCATGCCGCTTGGTATGATATTTTTATGCTTCAGGCAAGAGTTACTGCGCTCCGTTTGGCTGCAAAATGACATGTGCTTGTTTGACTTGCCAAATCTGTAATCATATATTCATATGGCTTAATATTAGGTAGATACTAGTTATCTAATGCAATACCATACTATAGAAATGCAATATTAATTATGTAACCAGGTAGCTGTATATACAAATACGTATTAATGATTATAGTAATACGTGTCTGTAACACAAGCACAATGAGGCAGGTTTCTAAGTTGATTAATGTGTTCTCTGGTCAGACTGGAGCAGCAGGAAGATCTCAGGCTCTGCAGGTTCTGGCCTTTCTAGAAATAACTTCCTTACTGCACGTGCATCCCTCCGGCTACGCTGCGGTGCTGTGCAGTGAAGGGAGGGCAAGAAGAGTCTGGGAACACCTCACAGCCATAAAACCACTAGCTGTGATAGTGTGGCTAACTTATAAATACACAACTTGATAGGGAATTAAACCTTTTTCACCTGCTGAATAATCCTGCTTGTAAGGACAGAGTCTTAAAATCTTAGAAGGTGACTCCAGAAATTGTAGCTTCTCATTTTCTTCAGTGCTTTTGAAATGAAATGCCTGGAGGAGAGTAGCAGATACATAGCTATCATCATGGAATTGGAGGGCTCAGCTCTGTCTTGGAGGACACAAGGGTTTGGAAAATGTACGTGAGAGAGTTGCTTGAAAATTTTCTTCCTTTGGCTTTTTACTATGTATTTTTTTTTTGCCTCTGCATTATGTGGAGAAGCGCGTTACCATCAGCATCGTGCTTTTCACCTGCACCTCCGCGGCAGGCGGCAGATAAGCGCAGTTGCGCTCTCGGTGCAGGCTGTGCAGCGAGCGGATGTGTGGTGGGAGTCATGGTCCCCGTGCCACAGCAGTGCCGTCCCCGGGGCTCGCCAGCCCACGGCCGGGGAGATGGAGCTCGGCGTTGGGCAGTGTAGAGCAAAGAAAACACACCCAACGAGCTACCTGAGGAAAAGGGAGGGGAGAACCCACCCCTAAGCAACTGAAAATAAAGGAGAGTGGAGGGAAGAGAGGATTTGGGAATTAGTTTCTCAGCACAGATGACCTGAGGTGTGTGAGGGTCCCCATCACCTCTCCTCATCGGCCTTCCCCGACGCTTCATCTCCTCTGTCCCTCAGAGGCTCCTGCTGAGCCTTTCACTGCCTCTTGTGATTTATCGTCAGGGTGAGATATCCATCCCTTGGCGCATCTGGGCCGTCCCCACTGAGTTTCCACTGGAACGCGGCTCGAGCCCCTTTGTTTTTCAGTCTGGGCTGCAGATATGCTCTGCCGGCTGCCAGCTGGACGGCCGGCACCCTGGCCCGCTCCCTTACAGCTTCTCTGTCTCTTCTTTGCTTTTCCCTTCTTCCACC